GACAGCAGTTTTAAACATAATAAAGTTCAAGATCTCATCTTGGAAATGAATGACAGAGATGATGAGTAGCTAGTGGTTATAGACCTCCATGAGAAAAGAGATGTTATTAAGAACTCACTTAAATCACCAGGCATGGTAGCATATACCTTTTCTTTCCCCAAGGTATAGACATTTTTTAAAAAATTTATAATATTTTTTGTTTGTTTGTTTTTTGAGACAGGATTTCTCTGTGTAGCTTTGCGCCTTTCCTGGAACTCACTCTGTAGCCCAGGCTGGCCTTGAACTCATAGAGATCCGCCTGGCTCTGCCTCCCAAGTGCTGGGATTAAAGGCACGTGCCACCACTGCCCAGCAATTTATAGTATTTTTATATTTTACATACCAACCACAGATCACTCCTCCCACCCCCTCTCCTGCCCACTCCCCCTCCCCTCCTCCAAAAGGGTAAGGCCTCCCATGGGGAGCCAGCAAAGCCTGGTATATTCAGTTGAGGCAGGACTAAGAGCCGGTGCCCCCCCCCCCCCCATCAAGGGTAAGCAAGGCATCCCACCATAGGTAATGGGCTCCAGAAAGCCAGCTCATGCACTAGGGATAGATCCTGATCCCACTGCCAGGAGCCCCTCAAACAGACCCAGCTACACAACTGTCTCTGGTATGCAGAGGACCTAGTCCGGTCCCATGCAGGTTCCACAGCTGTGGGTCTAAATAAAGTTCGTGAGTTCCTACGAGCTTGGTTCAGTTGTCTCTGGAGATTTCCCCATCATGATTCTGACCCCCACACACACCCCTGCTCATGTAATCCCTCTTTCCTCTCTTTGACTGAACTCCAGGAGCTCAGACTGGTGCTTGGCTGTGGATGTCTGTCTGCATCTGCTTCCACCAGTTACTGGATAAAGGCTCTAGAATGACAGATAGGGTATTCACCAATCTGATTACCAGTGTAGGCCAGTTCAGGCATCCTCTCCACTATTGCCAGGGCATATACCTTTAATCCCAGCACTCCAGAGGCAGAGGTAGGCAGATCTCTGTGAATTCGAGGCCTGGTCTACAAAGCACATTTCAGGTCAGTCAGGGGCTGTTACACAGAGAAACCTTGCCTCAAAAAAAAAAAAAAAAGTCACCAGGATAGAGTCACACATGGTGCAAAGGGACACTGTGCCCTCAAGGTTGAGGGGACTATGCAGTCAGGAAACTAGAGTGGCTAGCTATGGGCTGGGGGTACAGGAAGCACCACAGAGAAGCGCATGGGACAGAGAGGGATGTGGAGCTTGGGCCTCATCAGATGCCTTACCAAGCCCCATTTAAAGGCAGGACCTGCATGGACAACCATGTAGGTAACTGAACATTAGTGAGAAATGATACAACCAGTAGTAAATGGGGGTCGATCAGTCACAGAGGAACCAACCAGGGTAAAACTCTCTTTTAGATTGGCATGGGCATCATAAAGAAACATGAGGCCAGGTGGTGGTGGCACACGCCTTTAATCCCAGCACTCGGGAGGCAGAGCCAGGTGGATCTCTGTGAGTTTGAGGCCAGTCTGGTCTACAGAGCGAGATCCAGGACAGGCACCAAAGCTACACAGAGAAATCCTGTCTTGAAAAACCAAAAAAAAAAAAAAAAAGAAAAAAAAAAGAAACATTGAGAACAGATGCACAAGTGCCCACAGCTTAGCTTGAACAGGAAGGAAATAACTAGACTCTTCATTTAACAGAAAACTTCCATGGAAGAGCAACTGCTCACATGTGTGTAACTGGCTGAAATCAGGCTGCCAGTCGAAGAAAAGGATTGTGGTGTCCACGGCCTGGTGATAGCCATGAGCTGGCCTGGCTATTCTCTGTTACAAACAGAAGATGAAGGTAGATTAACCAGGCATGGCGATGACGCCGAGAAATCCCAGTAGGTGACCACGAGTAAGACAGCCCCACAGTGGACACTGAGGATGCTGGAGTGAGCACTGTGGGAAAATGGGAATCTTTGTACCTTCGAAGTCATACAAAGAGGGAGCACAGGTTCTCCAACACCCTAGGATGTGTTCTTTGCAGATGCGATAGACCCAAATTCAATGTCATGGTTAGTAAAGCCAGTAGCCCCAGGGCTGTGAAGGGATTTGAGGATTCCTACGATAAAAACAGTTTGCTGGGCATAGTGGTGCACACCTTTAATCCCGGTACTCAGAGGCAGAGGCAGGTGGATCTCTGTGAGTTCTAGACCAGCCTGGTCTACAAAGAGAGTTTCATGATAGCTGGGGCTGTTACCCCGGCTCAAAAAAAAAAAAACAATCAACCCACCAACCAAACAAAAGCAGTCACTAGTGGGACACTGTATACCTGACATAATTCAGAGAAACGTGTGTAGATCAAGCATTAATTCAGACAGAGAAGAACCAGGAGACTGGAGATGATGCACTTGAAATTGTAAAGGATTTTTTATGTACTGGTGGTGTTAGGGCTTGAGCTAAGGGTTCTGTGCATACAAGAACTGTATGTCACTTACATTTGCTACATTTTAGGAAGACTAGACACAGTTCCACTGTAGATTCTTGCCCAGCATGGCAAGGCCTTGCCTCTTATTTCCATCACAGCAAAAACAAGCAAAAACAAACAAAAAACAACAAAAAGCAAAAACCAACCAAACCAAAAACATAATAAAAACCACAGAGTCACCTACTGCTGGTATAATGAGCCCCAAACTGGTAAGGCTGTTTACATGTAAGTATTCATTTATCAACAATATACTGAACCACTAGAACTGACATTACAGAAGCCCAGATTATATATTAGGCATAAATTTGAGGAAGCATCAGGATGCTGGTACCCTCACAGCATAGATTTGGGGTGGGATAGGAAGTCCACACAGCATGACCAGTGAAGAAGGGGATTAGCCTGGAACTGAGTGGAGGGCTCACATACAAAGCTTTTGCCTCAGGGACAGCCCAGTAGTAGAAGGAAATACCCAAAGGATCACCCCAATTTCTTATAGAAGCCTGCTCCCAACTCAGGGTAGTAGTCAGTACTCAACAACTTAGTTAGGTTGAGACCAGTTAATTGGCTCAGATACTGCCCAAAAGAGCAGGTCTAACTGTCTTACTTGGTGGACTCTATACTGACAGGCTACAGCACAGAGCAAGCAGGAAGCCCACTTCACTGGGATGAGAGCGAAAAGGAAACACCCACTCATGACCAGGACATTTTCGTAACTCCATTAGCTCAAAAACAAGATTCGAACCTCACACCCACTGGGATGGCGGCAATTAAATAAATTTAGACTTAAGGAAGCTGGCCGGGTGGTGGTAGTACATCCCTTTAATCCCAGCACTTGGGAGGGAAAGGGCAGCTGATCTCTGTGAGGTGAGGCCAGGCTGCTCTGGTCTACAGACTGAGTTCTGACTACACAGAGAAACTCTATCAAAACAAAACAAAACAAAAAAAAAGAAAAAAAGAAAGAAAGAAAGAAAAGAAACCATTGGGCCAAGAGAGGCAGTTCACAACTTTAATATCAGCACTCAAGAGGCAGGCAGCTCTGTGAGTAGAGAGCAACCTGGTCTACATAGGGAGCTCTAGGCCAGACAGGACAACACAGCGAGATTCTGTCTCAAAACAAAAACCCAGGGACCCGGATCAGCTAAAGTATTAGCCCTAGTAACAAAACTCAAAACTTTTCGTATCCCTAAGGCCATTGAAAACAGACAAAACCAACTCCTCTCAAGTTTGAAGACAGAAGCAGTTAGTTTGAGATCCATTCCTGTCTCCTCGGCTCACAAGTAGTTAGCTCAGTCAGAGCCTCAGGTGAGTCTACTCCAAGTCCAGGGACCAGCTTCTCCAGAACTAAGGTTTGTGTGCGTACACTTGCTGGTAAATATAATCTTTTATATTATATATATGTATATTTTATTTATCTATTGAGACAGGGCTTTTCTGTGTAGCCTTGGCTGTTTTGGAACTACTGCCTGGCCTTGGACTCAAGAGATTCAATTCCCTCTACCTCCTGAGTGCTGGGATTAAAGGCGTGCGCCTCCCGCCCCCCCCCCCCGCCTCCCCGCTAAGGGAAATACAATTTTTCAGAGTCTTAGAGACACCTGGGCTGTATCTGAGGCTCCCCACCTCCGGTGTCCACATCCTGTGGCTGACTGACCCCCCAGGTGTACGTGCTGGGGAGGTATTTGCAGGATGGGCTTATCCATAAGGTTTTAGGGATTAATTTAATGCTCATTGTAGAGTGGGGTCCCCCCCAAGTTGGTCTCTCCCATGAGGGGGCCCAGTACCTGGCTGGAGACCCAAAACAGCAGTCAGCACGCCAAAGTCTATTCCAAGTCTTCAGAAAGGGGCGGAGCTGTGACCTTGGGACCACCTGGGCAAACTCTTCAGGACTTCCCTTAGGCAAGACTGCACCAGTCCTGGGATTCACAATGTGGCCGGATGGGCCCAGAATTTGTAAAACGGAGCCAATCAAGAGTAGGTATTGTCATGCTAGTGAAGTGCCTGCAGCTACATCCTTTTCTAACTGCGGCCGAGCCCTCCCCCACCCTCTCTAGTCCCGGAGGCATTGGAATTTAAGCTAAAATTAGTAAATTCTAGCAGGCAGCTTGGCTGCGCTTTGTTGGTTGTGTCCAGGCCGGGGCCTCTCGATTGACCATACATCTGCACGGGAATCTTCCTGGGGAGCTGTGCTCTTGACTATCCCGTTCACAAGGACTGGAGTAGTCCGTATTCAAACCTCAGGAGAGGGTAGAATTTTAGGGACGCTCAGCACTACCTGTCCAGCCTCCCCTCTCAGCTTCACTCACAGTTAACCAGCGCTCCTGGTGGGCGGGGTCCCGCACCTTGAGATAGTTGGTATCCAAGAGGTATCAACTGTGTACCACCCCGCCCAAGCCTTCACTGAAATGCCCACAATCCTGGGGAGTGGGGCTGCTTCGCCTTCCCTTACCTTCGTAGTACCCCCTATCCGCAGGGGTCCATTCTTACTTAGACGTGGAAGTGGAATCCGAATTCATTCACAGGCTTAAGTAGAAAACACAATCTTTATTTTAAGAACCTAGGTTTGGGGTTGGGGTGGGGACACTAACTGGGGTCGAGGTAGACTGGGGGAGGGGTCAGCTCTGGAGGGGAGAACTGACGACAAATAAGGCTTTATTGGCGCAGGTCCCCAAGGATGCCCCGCTCGGAGGCTGCATTGCCCAGAATGAAGCCCACAGCCAGGGAAACTGTTTGGTCAAAGGAACCTCGCAGCTGCTCCACGTGCTGGTTCAGGGTCGCCAGCTGGTCGCGCAGTGGGCCCAGAACTGTCGAGATGTCGCCCAAGTGCGTCAAGGCCTGCAGCAGAGCGGTGTTCAGAGACTGGGGCGCTACCTGCGGGGAAGCACGGTCCTGGGGAAGGCCAGGAGGCTCATTCGGGCCCTCCATGTCGTAGTCGTGGGTTGGTGGCGGGGAGGATCCGAGGGCATGGCCAGGCTCAGGAGTCAGAGTGCCGAGGGCCGTAGGGGTAGGGGAGCTGGTATTGCGGCGGGCATCTGCGGACCTCTTAGTGGAAGAGCTGAATCTGAGCGCAGAAGCGGGGTCGGCATCTCCCGCAGCCCCTAGGAGAGAAGCGCGTGGTCCCGCTAGTGGTCGGTGCGGAATCCTACCTCCGGGTTCCGCCCTTCCCCCATTCCTGCCCGCACCGCAGCGCCTACCTGGCTCGACTGATGTGGGTGCAGAAGTTAACACCGCGAGGGTCGCCCGGCCGCGGCGATGGGGACGTCCAGGTCCCGTAGGGCGACGGCGGACCCGCCGGTGCCCATCGTCACCCAGCAGCCCCATGAGCTCGCGGATCTGGTCGTCGTAGGGCCCGGACGGCTGGCCCTGGGAGTCTCGAAGTTTGTCCTTGAGGAACTTGTAGCGGCGGCGGCACTGAGCCGGCGTACGCCGAACTTGCTGACGGGCCAGCGCGGCCGACACGCGGCGGTAGGTGGGTAGAGCCTGCCGGCGATCTAGCAGGAGTGAGCGCCACATGGCCGGCTGCAGCAGCGTGCCCAGAAGTAGCTCCGTCTCTCGGGCACTCCAGGGAGTGCGCTGCGCCGAGCCCGGGGACACGGGAGCCTTGGGCGAACCAGGCTCCGCCATCGCGCCCGGAGTGGGGGCGAAGGCATCAGACGTAGTCTCCCGGACGTCCCCCGCCGGCCGCAGCTCGGCGTCGAGGCTAGCTGGCGACGGTGGCGAGAATGGGGTCGGCCGCCGGGGACGAAGCAGCATCCCGGAGGAAAGTGGAGGTGCGTGTGTTCTGAGGCTATAGCCTCACCGGGAAAGAGGGCTCCTGCAGAGCCTCCCACACACGCTGTAAGGACCCCACGCCGCCGTCCTCTACGTCTGAACTGGGTCGAGGAGACCCTCCCATCGTCCCGCCGCCCCGCCCCTCCTCGGCCCGCCCCTCTTGCCCACCTAGTTCCTTTTTGCAGGTGCTTGTACCTTGCGTTTTCTCCCCCATCCCTTTTCTAGCCCTTTCTTTAGGGGCCCTAGCCCAGAGAACAGAGTTTTGCCCCATTACACAAATCAGAACGTGTAAAAAAAAAAAAACCTTTTTTTTTTTAAGTTAAAAAAACAACAACAAAAAACATTTAATCAGCCAGGTGTAGTGGCCCACGCCTTTAATCTCAGCACTGGGGAGGCAGAGGCAGGAGAATCTCTGTGAGTTCGAGGCTAGCCTGGTCTACAAAGCAAGTTCTAGGACAGCTAGGGCTACATAGAGAAACCCTGTCTCGAAAAACAAAATAAAATAAAACAAAACAAACAAACAAAAAGAATGGAGAAACCAAAAAAAATTAATTAAAGTACAATATAATAAGACTGAGTGAGGAGGACAGCTCGTTTTTATATTTGTGTTATGCCCATTAATCACTACCCACAAACAGCCCATGAATACCTCCAAACACAAAACTCTGGCACCCTTTCTGTCTAGGGCACCGGAATGTGTTTTTGTTTTGTTTTGTTTTTCCATGTAATTAGCATGGCTGTGTTACTTTCCCTGCTTTCATCTGGCTGTGGGCTTTGGGAGATGGACATGTTTTGTATCTAATTTACTGATCTAGCTAACAGTGGCAGGTTCCTGTAAGGAGGCCACTTGGATGCTAGATTTGATAGAGATCAATGGCCGGCTATTGGGATTGGAGTCTTAGTTCACATACACTACAATGAATCTCTTTAGTATAGTAAAATGTATCTACTAACAAAGGTGACAGTATCACCTCTTCCCCCAAAGTTAAGACCAACAAAAGGGAGCTGGGCAGCGGTGGAGCATGGTTTTAATACCAGCACTCCCAGCACTCAGGAGCAGGAGGCAGACTGATCCCTTAGTCTTCAGAGTGGGTGAGTTCCAGGACAGCTGGGGCTACACAGAGAAAACTTGTATCAAAAAAACCAAACCAAAACAAACAAGAAAAGGATGCTCAAAGTTAGTCTTAGTGTAGAATTCTTGGCCAGTGTAGTAAGACAAGAAAAAGAAACATTATATAAAGATGGGAAATGAGTTCCTAGTGACCCGTGTGCTAGTTTAGCTATACAAGCCCTAGTTTTACAGAGATCAGTGGAATCTTGTATCCTACCTACTACCTCTGGGATTTTAGCAGTCTGCTGTGGGATGCACTGCTACAATGCATCAGCAAAGACTAGCTACTGTTTCATTTTCATTATTAGTGATTTGTAGCCAGGGGCTTGAGCAAAGACCGAGGCATGACTGGGACAGGCCAGAGTGGCTTCTAACTAGCCATACCAAGCCTAGCTGCCTGGGACAGTATTATGAGTTACAGCCAGTTGTCCTCAGGGTCTTCATCACCTGGCTCAAGCCCCACAGTGATGGTACCTAGTGGCTCTAGGGCAAGGCAGCTGGTAGGGGGATCATCTTTGCTCTTTAAACACACCGTATGTCCATCTTGAGCTTACTCTCAGTACTGTGGTTTTAGGGTAGTTAAACTCCCATCTGTGTTGGAGGCTTCCCTCAACTTCCCTCAGTACTCAGGAGACCTGACTCCAGGCTCAGCACAGGGTAGGGACCAGAGAGGTGAGAATCCCTGAGCCTTGAAGGCCAATGGCTGTCATTTTTTTTCCTCTGCATAACCACCAGGCAGATAGGTTGTTAAGCCCCTAAGGACCTGCTAGCTTTCATTAACAACAACAATCCAGTAAACACACTTAGGAGCCCCTGGCCCTAAGCCTGTCTCTCCACTGTGTCCTGAATGAGTACATTGAGATGCAAGTTACTCCCCACCCCCTTCATGTCTCAGACACCTTGGAAGCTCAGGAGAGGTCCCAATGGGTGGTCAAGTGAACGAGCCAGCTCTGTCCTGTCCATGGGCTGATCAGTAGAAACTGGTTGGGGTGCACAAGTTACAGCAGGGAACCCCTCCCCCACATTGGTGCTGTGGGCAAACAAGCTGTGGTCATCAGAAGTCTTGGCCTTGGAGAGGACAGCTGAATTAGAGGTGAGTCTCCCTGACCTGGTCACTGTGATAGTGAGGGTGTGAATGTCACCAAGAATGTGGTGTGATCTGGAAGTATGGCTTTCAGTTCTGGGCTGGGTATATTTCCTACTGAAGTTCTTTAGACCCTAGGTGAGGTGCCCCTGCTGAGCCAAGGACTTACTTTAGCCTCAAAGTGGGTATTGCTTTTAAAACCTCGGAAAATGGACCATATGGCAGTAGCTTGGTAGAAATGACTTTATTTAGAAATCTGTACCTTGTGACATCAGGGCGCCATGCAAACAGCGCTGAAGCCAAAAGCCTGTTCACTTCCCCACGCAACAAGTCAGCACCATTGGAATGCTGGTCTGCGCTGGATAGCTCCTGCACTAGATACAAAATCTGAAAATGTCGGCGCTGATCAACAGAACATAATCCTTATAGAAAAGACCCGAAACAGTTAGTTGCGTGTGCATGGCCAGGACTCCCAGTCTCACTTACATCCAGTGTAAGCAGGGCCTGGTGTCTCCAGCAAATTCATGGGAGGAAACACATCTCAGCATTAAAAATCCCAGCATTTGGTCACAAGTCACAGCTTCCTAGAAATACCACTAGCTGCTTCACTACAAAATCCCTACTTCTAATGTACAGAACAGTCTTGGTCTTGTGGCAGGCAGGGCTCCGTTGGTGCCAGTTACTTAAGTATCTGAACAACTAGAGTTTTTCCCACCTGCTGCACTCCATCATATTCTCAGCCCTCCTGGCCAACAGACCCCTTTCCCACTGAGCCAAAGCCACAGCACCAGCTGTTGAGGATCTAGAAATCCAGGTGTCTGATGCCACTGAGGCAGCAAGCTTCGCTCACACCTTTGTCTGTCTAACAAAGCGCAGAGCCGAGGGAACACAGTGGATGGGTGTGCGCATGCACAGCTGCTGAAGGCTGATGGGCAGCCGTTCTCAGGGTCCACATGGCAGTAAAGGGACTTTGCTCCCAGAGGCCCCAGGAAGGTGAACCTGCGTTGTTGGTGCTGCTGTCGGTGTGCGGGGCCAAGAGCCTCTGCCCAGCATCCCTGTCAACTGCCACTGTTGTAAGCTGGGGGCAGGAGGCAACAGGCCGTGGGGAGGGTCAACTGCTGAGGCAGAAGGCCCAGCTGGGACAGAGAAGCAGCTTCTCCCACTCTCTGGAGGCTGAGAGGACCAGGGGGGACTTGGCAGGATTGGCTGTAGATGGAGTGGAAGTATAAACTTGGCCAAGACCAATTGCTAGAAACCTTGGGCTCCAGTGGAAGGTTCCAGACCCTTTGGAGCTGCCGAGTGCAAAAGATAGTTTTGGTCCTTCTTGCTGAGTGGAAACAAAAACACCGGTCAGCAAGCAGCTATGTTTGGGCTCTTTTGGAGTCAGATGTGGGTGGGTGTTGGGTTTTGAAGAGGTCATTGAAAAATAGGTGGGAACCCCAGGTACAGGAGAAATCTGAAGCTCTGGGGATGTTTTTAATCTATTCCCTTTTCATTTGTAAATTTGATTTTTTTTTTCTTCGAGACAGGGTTTCTCTGTGTAGCTTTGCGCCTTTCCTGGAACTCATAGAGATCCGCCTGCCTCTGCCTCCCGAGTGCTGGGATTAAAAGCGTGTGCCACCACTGCCCGGCGTAAATTTGATTTTTTAAATTCTAGCAGGAATAGGCCCACCAAACTTTGTGTCCACCCTGCCTTGGGGATAAGGCTAGGTTGGAGTTAGCTCAGTCCTCCCGGTGGATGGCCTCAGGCTAGTCCCTTGCCACTTCCAATGCTATTCTGGGAAGTAAAAACAGTTCTCCAGGGCACTCAGTGGGCCTGAGCCTCTACAAACAGCCCTGGGGGTTCCTTCCACCTGACCCATCTTCCCTGGTCTGGTCCCACTTGGAGGAGTCTACACCCAGATGGAGGCCTTGGCTACTGGAATGTGGCTTTCATTCTCCTCAGTTTGTCTTGGATCTTCCGGGAGTGCTTTTCGCCTGGGATCTGGTGGAAGTTGGCCCTGTTATCTGCTGCTAAGATGGACACATCCGCCCCGCTAAAACGGGCAATTCTTTGCTTGAGGTGCGCCTGTAGCTTGGGGTCAGGGCTGAATGTGTAGGGGTTCTCCTGGAATGCATGCACCTGGCTTGCCACCTTGGCGATGTTTCTTTGTGGGGAAAGAGAAGATTCGTTAGTTTGCACCTTGGCCAACCAATTCTAAGGTCTCAGGATTGGCTCAAACCAAACCTTTCCCAAAGTGCAGCAGCAAAGGGTCCGTTTTCTGTACAAGGACACTCCTTATGGCTGTGCACCCCACCTCCACCCTCTCCATTCCCCACCCCCACTCCTGCTCATCCTTCATAAATATTCATTGAAAACCTCTGTGTCAGGTTGCTCCAGTTGAGGTCTTAAACACGGAAAAACAAACAAAACCTCCCAGGCCCATGCTGATTGTTCTAGTTCTTTTTGGGCCTTCTGACTCTGTGTACTGGTAGTGACCGGAACTCAGAAGCCCTTACTCCGGCTGGGGACTACACACCTGCAGGCACGCCTGTCCACCTCAGCTCATGAACAGTGTGTTCATTGCTTCCGATCTTTAAAGGACAGTCATGTCTGCAGTACACCAAGTTGTGAGGAGCAGATGAGGGCTCTTCACCACTTTTGTGGCGTTACCTCCAGCCTTTAATTTCCTTTTTGCTGACATAGCTTTCTTTTCTGTTGCAATAAGCGGTACTTCTAGTGAGTTTTCATTTTGCTTTTTAAAAACTCGGTGACTCTCTAAAAAGGGGATCTTAGGGCTGGCTAGATGGCTCGGTTGGTAAAGTGCCTGAGAACCTGAGCTGATCCCTAGTACTCATGTGAATAAAAAGGTCAGATGCAATGACAGGCACTTGTGATCTTAGTACTGGGAAGGTGGAACTCTTCCAAACCCTGGCTCTTGCTGGCCGGCCAGCCTAGTCTACAGCAAGCCTCAGGTCCCAGTTAGAAACCCTGTCTCAAAAAACAAGGTGAACAGCTCCTAAGGAATCACACCTAAGGTTGACCTTGGGCCTCCACGTGCATACACACACACACACACACACACACACACACACACACACACACACACACACACGTGTACATATGCATACACACACACACAAAGGAGATCTTGCACTGGGCAGGTTGTAGTCACTGTTCACCAGATCCCCTGGGCCTCATCTACCTAGCAAGGCCATTCTCTGAGAAGATACGAAACATATCTTCAGGCTGTGGCCATGTGGATGGCTCTGGGCAGAAGGGACCAAAGAAGATGTAAGGAGCAGACACCAGAGGGGCCTTGCATGTGAATGTGCTCACTGGTGGGACGCATTAGACTGGGTGTAGCCCCTTACCTCTGCTGACTTTGTCTGTGTACCCCTTTGGTCACAGCCCTCTCACCTCAGCTTGCTCCACCTGTGGGCTCCATTCGTCATGGTGAAGCCCCCTGTCTCTAGCTGCTGGATGTGCATGGCCAGCAGGTGGGCAGAGGGCAGGGTAGGCTGGGCCCGGAAGCGCCGCCCTTCCATCAGACACAGGCTGTCGCTCTTCAGGAATACCTGGGGGGACCAGCCAGGGAAGTGAGCAGGGAAAATGGATAGTTATCATCTAGGAGGGCCAGCCCACCTGCCCCTGTTAATACCTGTCCTCCTGGGGCTAGAGAGCCCCTAATACCTCACTGAACATTCAGTCCAGAATGAACCTGAGGTTTCTGGATTGCATGTCAAAAGTTCAGATGTGGTAAGCTGGCTGCCATGGAAACACTGACAGCCACTGAAAGCTTTTGCTACTCAAACAACCAATTCCTTACTTCTGATTCCAGAAAAGAGTCAGGTGACCACCCTTCCCAAACAGAGCTCCTGCAGGCCCTGAGCATATGTACATAGTGAGTATACATCCATTCTCTCCTGATCCCTTGGAGTTGAGGCTCGGCTTTGAGTTCAGGGACAACACAGGCTGGGGCTACTCGGGGGTGTCTGCCTCAGGCTAATGTCTATGAGGCTTCTGCTGCCTCTGTGGAAAATACACAGTCATTTAATCTGTGTTTCCTGCCTGTCAGTTCATGAGGCCACCTCTCTGCCACTGGAGCAGGCCTACATGTCCTGGTCCAAGATCTGTTTGTAGACCTGCACCCTTGCACCTGTAGCCAGGACTGGGACGTCAGTCCGGTCAAGTAAATCAGCAGGCAGGCATCTTTGCTCTGCAGGCCTGAGACAAGGTCTCACTAGGTATCTCTGGCTGGCCTAGAACTTGCTGTGTAGAGCAGGCTGGCCTTTAATTCACTGAGATCTGTTTGTCTCTGTTTTCTGAGTTCTGGAATTGTAGGTATGTGTCACCACACCCAGCCTGTGTGTTTGGCATTCTCTGATATGATCCTGCTATGAGATCCCTGAAATGTGTGGAGCAAGTCATTCGAGGGAAGCTCTGCAAAGAACTTGTACAAACCTCCACGGCTTTCAGCTCTTCCATGACCTCAGCAATCTTCGCAGGCAGGATTTTCCAGGCCTGAGATGGAAGCATAGGTGAGACCCTTGTGGCCTTGTGTGCTTGCCCATCCCCTCAGCCCCCTGAGTCCCATGTGACTCACAGGGGACTGCCTTACAGCCAGGTGCTCCAAACCTCCCAGGATCTGCATGGCTGTTGCAAAGTTCCTCTGTTCATAGCAAGATTTTGCAATCAGCAGGAATTTGGACAGCAAGTTCACTTGCAGCTGAAATGAGAAAATGGCGCTGAGTGTCTTTAAAGATGTGCAGCTCAGCAGTGGAGTGCTGGGCAAGCATGCACAAGGCGGTAAACTTGGGCCCCAGCACCAACATAGCAAAACTAAACCAAACAGAGAAACAAAAAGAACAACAGACCTGTTGAAATAGCCCATCCTCAAGGCACAGAGCCTCATGACTTAGTTAGTTATTCAAAAAGAAAGTGGGGCATAGATGCAGAGCTCTGAGTGTTGCCTGTGAGTAGCTTGGGGGTATCATGTGTAATAGCTTTGAGACAGCCTCCATGGGCTCCCAGGACATCTTCTGAATAGGTCAGACTATTTCTTCCCAATGCCTTTGGTTGTCCCCACTGTACTGTCTGGTCAAACTCCATGTTTCAACAATGTTCTGGGACTG